GTCTCTTATTTCACTGGGGGAGCACTTGAAGAAAAAGCTAATGAAATATGCATTTGCTAGCGTGAGTCAGCATCAGCATTTTCGGTTTTGAAATGGAGGCTTAAGTTAATATCCAAGTGACTTAGGAGTTAGTCTTTCCTGTAACAGAAATACTTTTAACTCTCGTAGCTTTTCCTCAAAATGGGGAACCTCTTAGGTCTTACCCCTGCATGTCACAGGCTCTGCCATCCATCACGTGGCAGGACTAGAGGACCTGAGGGTAAAGAAAGGCTGGGAAACAGAGTATTGCTACCAGCACAGCTTATTCAGCCTCAGCCCTTTCTAGAGCTGTCTCTGGGATGAAGGCTGTTGAAATAAGCTCCAGACTGGAAAACCCGTTGTGGGCTGCAGGCAGCCTGCAGTCTGCAAGCTCATCAGCCTGCTGTACATTAAAGAATTGAATTTTTATAGCATAGTACGTTAAAGGGAAATACACAAATTAAAAAGCAATACATATTGCATAAAAATTGCATTCATTAGCCAATCATCTCCATTTACACATTTCTTAAAGCTAGAAATAATCCCTTTTTCTTCAAGAAAGTACGGGGGGAGAGAGAAGAAGTCATGCCATGTGTGAAGAAAAAGCTTGATGTACTGGTACTCTCATAAACCCACTGTTTATTAAATATTACCTGAATAGCCCTTCCAAAACTAAACGCTGTATGCAGGATCCAAGGTCTGTCTCTGCAAGAATTAAAACATCTGTAAGAATCTTGATTTTTAATTTGAGTCTGGATATAGAGATTGAAAAGGTAGCATCCCCAGGGAGCACAGGAGGGAGCAGGGAAAGGCTTTGGGAACACAGCCTGACAACAGGGAACCTGTGCAAATGCACAGGCAGGGCTGCAATCTTTGTGGCTGACTGCAAGAACATCTAAGATTCAGGGTGCTTTGATGTAAGTCCCATGCCTGTTCTCTTGATATTTGTCAAGACAGTGGAGACTCAAAAGCCAATTTTCAGCTCTGTTTCATGTTGGGATTGATTAAAAAAAAAAACAACAAACAAACCACAAAACCCAAAGGGATCTGAATGGATTGCTAGCATACAGAATGGCTCTGTCAGGAATATTGAGGTTTAAGTAGTTAGTATTGGAGACAATTTTTATTAGGTCTGTTAAGGGCATGTCCGGCAGACACGCTGTCTGTGTGGGGTTTGTCTTTGGGATGCCAACTAGGGTGGAAGGTGGAACTGGGTATGTCAAGGATACTTGGCTATGGAGGCAGCAATTACCTGCACAGGTGTCCAGAGCGATGGTTGGAAACCTAAAATCCTTTTTTCCCCTACTGTGTTTTTTAATGCATTTAATATAACAGGTCCTTGATCAGTCTTTGACATCGGCTTCCAGGCATGGTGGCAACCCAGATGAATAGTTATTAACATTGTTGTTATGCATGTTTGATCTTTAAAATCCTCCAGTGATTTGAGCCTAGGCTCTGATGCTGCTACTGTCTGTGCAATACAGAGGGAATTACAGGTGTTATCACGGACTCTAAGAGGCTTTGTTTTAAATAAAACAGCGCCAATTGGAAATAACGATTTTCTACTCTGTTGTGGTAGTTTAAAAAAAAATGAATTTAGTCTTAAAATAGAAAAGTAAAGTTGATAAAATTTTAGGTTCAGAAATGTGAAAGTTTTGGTTTGGTGTTTTTGATCAATTTTTACTGACCCCTACACTTAGCTTTTTTAAAAGTTGGATCACATTCATCAGTTCTTCTGGGTTTTGGAAGTGGAATGTGTTAAAAAGAAGGGTATTCAAGGCATTTTGCAAGTAGAAAAAGTGCTTGGAAGTATATTCCCTATTGAACAGGTCTGAAGTAATGCCTTAGTTGTAAAAAAAGGGAAAGCGAAGCTGGCAATGCTACTTTTAGAGAGGCTGGAACTGCTTTTGGTTTCCAAAGATGTCGGCTCTCTTTTCTCCCTAATGTTATTGCTCATTTCTGCTTATGGCAGAGACTGTAATGAAGAAGCCCCTTGAACTTTTTTGCACAATTGTACGACCTTAGTCTGTTATCTCTCAGCACAAATCTCAAAATTTCTGTGCATAGTGGCCCAGGAAGGGTGAGCTACCCAGCCTGAGGTGAGTTAAGCCGTTCTGAGGGCTTGGGAGCTTTAGCCAAGATCAGAAGAAATGGTTTTCCCCCTTCTCAGTGCACAGGGATGTGTTACACACTGGCTGCTAAAGCGGCTCATGCGGTTTCGCACACTAGCTCACATCACATTCAAATAACTGGAAACCAGTAAGGTGGAAATGGGAAGTGCCAGCTCAGATTAGCTGAAGTGTGGGAGAGTTTGCGTTGTTCCCAGCATGCTGTTAGATGGCAGCTTCCCTGGGTGCTTCCTAGATGTCATCGCAGTGCCTGCACGTGTCGGCCCTGCTTTTTCTGTATGGTGCCCCTCATGCTGGGAGACTGTCCCTGCCTGAGCGGCGAGAGTCCAGGCAGAGGGGTGAGCGGGGTGCTGAGCCCAGCACCCCACCAGCCCCACTGCTCGGGTGGTAAGCCGTCTGCCAGCGTCAGCCATAAGCCATGTTTCTGGACAGCTGAAGCAAAAGGAGTGAGTTTGGAGTGGTGACTGGCAAAGGAGGACACGCTGTTTGCTTGAGGGATTTCAGGAATAGATTTGTGTCATTTTACTAGCACCTGAGCTAGCTTGATTTGAAACATTTTTATGCGTCCCAAGGCTGGAAGCATGACCTAACCTTTGTCCTTCCTCCCGATAGTGAGCAAGTGCTTCCAAGAGAATCCTTAAAAGACATAGGTGTTGCTTTCCTACATTGAAACAGCAGTTAGCTATTAATGTATTAATATATTAAAATATCAGCTATTTATCACTCCTCCTGCCTTCTCTCTCCCCTCCCCTCTCCTCCCCTCCCCTCTCCTTCCGTTTAAGCTCATAGAAAGGTTTAAATGTTTCTGAGTAGGAGCGGTGTTTCATGTCTGGCGTGCGGGAACTGATTTTCCCTAGCAAGCTTCTCTGGTGCATCCCTTCCCTGCCCTGGCGTGGCTGTAAACAGCTGATGGTAATTATCGTCCACCTGCTGACTGTGCCAAACAGACAGGCCGTTATGCTGTGACAAAAAAGGCTCCCAATCTATTAAGTCCTCCCTCATACCTTTAGTAATGCTGATAAAATGCTGACCTGTTTTTTACCCCAGTGGCTGCTGTTGCTAAGCATTGAGAATATGACCTGTCTCCTGTAATAATCTGCTTTGCACAGTTGAGATGATCTCCCAAATGGAAGTGTTTTACTGCACCGCTCAAGGCAGCTATTCTTCCCCCATAGCCTTTACAGTTCTGACCATGTAGTTTGTAGCAACACCTTGTTTTTGATAAAGCCTAATTAAACATTGCTATTTGAGAGCTGTTTGGTTGGAAGCACATCACAGAAGTTGATTTGTAATGGTCAGCATGACCTGGTTGGAAAACAATGATTAAAAGTAGGGAAGGTTGTAAGCTCGCAATTTACCATTGCAAAGTGGAATGCCATGTGTGCAAAACTTAGGAGAAAATAAAGAGTCTTTAATAATGGTTCTCTCCTTGGAAGAGAGAGATTGCTGTATTGAAAGTACTAGTAAAATAGGCTAGTAGCTTGTACTGGTGTAAAGAAGAAAGCAGACTTCATACCACTTACCGTTTTGCTGTCATTATGCTCAAGATTGCACAATCCTGCACATGAAGTTGACTGGAGATGGGCTTGAAGCAATGCTTGAGCAGAACACCAGTTTGCAGTGGCTGCATTGGCAGGAGAGAAGAAAAGTCTATAGCAAAAAAATTTTGAGGACTGGATAAGTAACTGAGCTTTGGTGCCAGGGTGTTTTGTAGTTCTCTCAGCAGTTACTGCCTTTATTTTTTTTTCTATAAAGGTAGTTGTTACACTCTTTTAGAACGTTAAAGGATCATAAAGCACTTAAAGTTGTCGTCATGTAAAACTGTGATGAAATGATACTGAAGGAAAAAAAAAAAGTAATTTCTTGTTATACAAATGGAGAAGAGGGCACAAAAAAATGTGTTAAGTGCCCAAGATGCCAGGGAAAGCCGTGGCACAAATAAAATCAAAGATTATATGATCTGTCCCTCTTGAAAGCTAACCCAGTTCATTGCACTTGCTCCAAGGCAGGATCAGCATTATCTAAACTCTCCTTCGTGGTTATTTGCATAACTTGTTAAAACCCTCCGGGGATGGGAATTACTTTCAGAGATTCTTTCATGACTTAACCATCCTCTCTGCCATCCTTACATTCAAGCTGAAGTCACCATAAAGCAAATTTGCACAGCTATCTTTAAAGCAAGATCTGAAAAAAAGTAAAATGCAGTTTAGATAATGGCACTGTACCTAAGGATTTCTGGCTACTTTACTGAATGTGGACAGATATTGTAAATAAAATGTGCCATAAAATGAGGGAGGATGGAGAAAATAAAATATAATCAGACATTAGATTTTAAAATGCCTTCATTTGTAGAACCGTGTTTTTTCGTTCAGGTAGACCAGACCTTCAATGTTGAGTATTTTGGATTGTTTTAAATCTGTCATGTGAGATCTCACAGTACTGGCCTGGTCTGTTCAGCTTGGACATTAAAGGTGGTATGGCATTTTTGGAAGGAGAGGACTGGTTTCCATGGAGTCCTATCCTGAGCCTCACCATGTTTGTCTTTCATGCTGGGTACCAGATGTGTCCCTGGCTACTAGCCTTGCATGTTAGACAGTGCTGCATAATTCACATTTATATATGAAGTCAAACCTTGTGCTGCCTAGTCAGGCGGAGAGCCTATTTACACCAGAGGGAGTTTGCATAAGCAAGGAGGGCAAGATTTGACCATATTTGATAAGGCAGTTTGGGATCCTTTCAGGTCTGGTTAAATGTATGTACAATATGTTGTATCATTAGTAACTTCTTTGCCAAGGGAACATATTTTTATACTGTGCTGTAATTTCTAATGGGACTTTTCCTTTTTTCTTGTAGTCTGACACAAATGCAAGTTACCTGAGAGCTGCTCGAGCTGGCAACTTGGAAAAGGCTCTTGACTACTTGAAAAGTGGAGTGGACATCAACATTTCAAATCAGGTTAAAGAATATTTTGATCAAATTTGCTGGATAAATACCTTTCGCACTGTTTCTTGAATCTCTCCTTATATTTACACTTCATTTCAATGGTAACTTAGGTGATTTTTTGATGGGCCATGTTTACATATTTTATCCAATTAAAACTTTTTTTTTACCCCTTGCCAACTCACCATTTCAATTCCACTTGGAGAATGTTGTGCTATTTAACGTTATCTTTCATTCCATTTATTTTACATGAGATCACGGGACAGCACACAGAACCTGAGACCCCAGAGCTAGTATCCTGACTTAATTCATACTCTTTCCTTATAATCTAGTTCTTGTAAAGTTTGCATGAGAGTAGTTTTTGGAAGCAGTCCTCTCACTGGAGTAAAATAATTTGTCTCCTGACATGTTTGCTACACTGGAAAACCTTTGCCAATCTTTCCCATTGTTTTTCTTTTTTTCCTTCTTTTTTTTAATCAGAATGGGTTGAATGCTCTCCATCTCGCTTCCAAAGAAGGGCACGTAGAAGTTGTCTCTGAACTAATACAGCGAGGTGCCAGTGTGGATGCAGCGACAAAGGTCAGTCAGGCCTATATAACTGTTCTCTTGTTCACACTGATGGCATGGGCACAAGGTGTCAGGCAACTGATTACAGACATTACTGCAGCAGTAATTGCCCATTTTCCACTGGTGGAGTATTCTCAGTAATTGTTTAATAGAAACTTTTTTGATTATAGTGAATGTCACAGGTTACTAGGGATGAGATTTACTTGAACAAATTGTAGATGCCTGTCTTGGTTTCTGTCTATGACTTCTAGCATAACTTGCCTGTTAGGAGTATTCAGTATTTTATTGCAAGAAATACAGTATTTTAAAGTGAAATATATTCTTGATAGTATTGTCATGTATTTAAGCTCAAGTTTTGTACTCTTTCCAAATATCGCTGTCTCATTTCAGAAAGGAAACACAGCATTGCACATAGCATCCCTCGCTGGACAAGCAGAAGTAGTAAAAGTGTTGGTTACAAATCGGGCCAATGTCAATGCACAGTCTCAGGTAAAGTAATGTTTCTCTGTTTGGTACTGTCAAAAACTTTGCTGACATTAAAATCATTCTCCCCTTATAAACTCTAATATTAGTAAGTATATTTGGTAGAGCTCATTGTGTTAGTGTTGGCCCTTGAAAATAGGGTTTGGTAGAGTCAGTAAGATGAATGTAATCCTGCTAACATAAAAAACCCATTCTTTTTTGGCTGTTCCACACATGTAGATAACCGACAACAGGTGCAAGGACAAAATTTAAGCACACAGCTGCCATTTTACTACTGAAGCAGGCATTTTAGTGAGTGTAGTGCTGAGTTCATTTCCACCTTGTAAGTCAACATACAACTAAAACTTTAAATGCTTCCAACTCTCCCCCTTCTGCTCTACCTCTCACCAGATGGTCAGAGTGTACCAAGAGGCATCATGGACATATCAAGTCTTGTCCTTCCCCATAGGCTTGACAGTGCAAGTGAAATCCCAGGTTGTGTTCAAGTCTTTTCCCACATGGGATGTCAGCCATCAGCTGGGATTAAATCTGAGTTGCTCACCTCACTCATCAACAGAGAAAACATAGAAATCACGTCTCTGTTTTAAGTTGTCCAGAAGCTGCACAAACATACACCCCTGGAGATGAAGAAAGTAGAGGCACATCCAGGGGGGTTTGCAGGATACTGGAAGTGATTGTGTAACAGGCAGCACAGCAAAGTATGAACCCTTCGGCCATAGACCTGCCCTCCAGTGTCCTATGAGCTGCTAATTGTTACAGAGTTAGAAGAGATACTGATAGGAGAGTGGGAGACAACTTGTTCAAATGAAAGGGATCCTGTTTCACGTAATTCAGTGTCTCAGGCTTAATCGAGCTCATCCCTTTTCATTGTACAAGGAGGTATTGCAAGCATATGCAAATTTGGTCAAGTCCTTTGAATATTTAGGTCAATTATAGAAAATTTGAAATAAGGGAAAACAGTGCTGGTGTTAAGAGCAAAGCAGTAAAATGAAACAGAAAATCTCTGGCTCAAAAAATGCATAAACCACAGATTGTTGAAAGCCAGGTGGCTGTGCTATAGGAGGTGTCCCTGCATGCCTACTCCATTCCTGTTCTCCTGCTCAGGGGCTGGCTGGTAGGCAGTGTCAGAGAAGGGATCAGATTAAGAGACGGTCTTCTCATCTGGCCCAGTCTTGCCATTCTTCTGTATTACAAAGATGTGGGCATGGTAGAAAATGTTTGTTAAAAAGGGTAATTTAAAAATCTACATTTTTAAAGAAACATGGATTTGTTTGTGTTTTTTTTTTTAAATTTGTGTCTCAAATAATATGAACAAAATGTTTAGCGGAATCTTTTTCAAGAATGTTAGTTATTTGTGATCTGTATTTCGTGTTTCCTTCACTTAGTCAAAGAAAATAGACTGCTCGGTTCTCCTTTCTTACTCTTTTATACTAGCTAGATGCAGCAATATTTGGTTCTGGGCACCATATAATTTTAATTTAAAGAGAACAACAATAACAAAAAGTAGTTTTAAGTAAAATCTTCCATGACTATTAAGAAGTAAAACAAAGCAGAAATGTTTCCAGTGGTTTTCCTGTTAAAGAAATTAAGATGGCTTTGAAAGGATCTTTTCTGCTTGTGTTGGAGAACTTGTGTATTCAGCCCTGAAACTAAAAATAATCTGAGATTGTAAACATCTTATGTAACTGCATTGTCCGTACACCCTAAGGTTTTGCCACATTACCTTTATTTTGCTAAGATATGAGAAGCCTTTGATAGCTTTGCTTGAGAGACATGTATATTGGCCATTCCACACCAATACCTGGGTAGGATTATTAGTCTTTTGGGGAGGTCCCTGGAACTCCCTGTCACCAAACTGCGCCTGGACCAGCTTTGTCCGTGGTACTGAACATCACTTGGACCTTGCTAAAGCTTAAAATAAAGTTCTGCTGAATTTGGCATACCCACAGAGAGACTACCCAAAAGATGTTTTTATTTTGTTTTTCTTTTTTATGCTGACCCTGTTTTCTGTGAGTTTGTTGGCTTTTTTCCTCTTCCCTTGAAGGTAACAGCTCTACCCTGCTGACAGCACCAGTGTTAGGGATGTGAAGCCTTCTTTAAAAAAATCTTCCAGTCCATTAAAAAAAAAAAAAAGGTTAATTTTTACTGAGTCTAAATTTTGTACCTCTTCTAAGGGCTATTTATTACTATTGAAGACAAAATTATCTTCTTGTTGCTGTCTGGTAATTTCAACCCCTTTTTAAAGAGAGAAGAAAAAGCAAAGTCTGGAGGGAAAGGTGTTGAAAACCCTGCAATAATTTTAACACAGGAGAAAAGGTTCTTCTCTGCCTCCAAATGCTAATAATACTTCGTTCTGAGAATTTTTGTCTATTAATTATTTTCTCAAACTAATCATTAGCAAGTGTTTCCTGCTTCCTTTCTAAATCCAAATGTTTGAAACTAGAAAAATTAATCTGTTTCCAGCTGAGTTAGTAAATAGATATTGAGTATGCCATGAAATGACAGGGAAAAATGTCAGATTCTGCTATTCACTATAATAATAGCCTGTAATGTGACACATTAGGTACCTTAGCAAGCGCTTTCTGGCTTTGTTTTTCATTAAGCAGAATTTTGACTGTATGGTAACTGAAGTGTTAGGCCTTGGTTCTGGTGAGTGCATCAGCACATTGTTAACTTTAGGCTTTGGCTCTGGTAGGACTTCAGCGCCTGCTTTATGCTTGTAGCAATGCTTTCCTGAAAGGAGACCAAATTATTGAAATACTGGAATAGCAACAGACCTTGCAGCCTGTGCAAGCGTTGTAAACATGTGGCCTCACAGCTGCTCAGTGTCTTGTTGATGGTAAAGTTCGTCTTGGATCAAACATCCAGTTCATGCCATTTCCTCTCCAACTGTCCTTTCTTCTGACCTCCTAATTGCCTCTGCTGCCAGTGAAGCCTGTATGCTCGGCCTCAGGTCACCTGTGCTCTCCTGCGTGCTCTGTGCTGGACACGTGCCATGCAACTCTGCCCCGTTGCCGAGACAGTCAGATGTCTCTCAGCTATTTTCACCATGACTACTATAACTCATCCAAAATTCACTGCTATAGGTCTTAAGCTAAGGTTTCCCTTCATCTCTCCAGAGCCCAGAATGTTGATGTTTTTTTCTTTGATACAAATGTATGGCGAAACTCTTCTCAGTTCATCTCTGTTTGGCTCCATTGGTTTCCTGCAAAGTCTAGGTCAGTGTCCTTTGTAACCGTTCTAGCTGAATTACTGAGCTGCTCCCCCTGCGCCTTCCACCCTGCCAAAGTGTCTGTCCTGGCCACGTTGCAGATGTGAGAGTGCTGATACTCTCAGCCAAACCCAGTCATACGGAAGCACTTCCTGAACTTTTCTATTGTTTAAGGCAGATGAAATCTCTCTTCTGTTTTACCTGTTATTTTTAACTAACCTTTACGTCCTATTTTATTTTGTATTTATTTTCCTTCTTGTCCTCCCCACGCTCTAGAGTAATCACCAGAAGTGGTGTGTGGTGAAGAGAGGTCTGGGGGGATCTTAGGTGGGAGCAGTTGAAAGACGGAAGATGGTGCCCCCATTGCAGCTGACTCTGTGTGAAGTTTACTTAAGAGAAGTCTGAGGTTCACAGAAATCCCAATGACATGAGACCTGGAAGATTGTGAGAAGAAAGACAGGGCCCTAACAGAGCCCACTGAAACCTCAGTGACCTCCTGGCCAAAAACATTTAATGGCGTCATCACCCTTGCTAGTACCATAAGGGACCAGGCAAAATCTAGCAGTGGTATGTCTGACAGAGTCATGCTGAAGGGTAAAAACATGTATCATGATAGATCAGAGGAGAAAGGGATTGCTGTTCTTACTGCTGATGCTGCTTTGGTTGCTTTAGAAGTACCAAACTGCTCAGTCAATAGCATATGGACATTTTAAGTTGTTACTATAAAATGTTTGTGATTCTGTTGCACTGAGGGACACGCAGTGCTTATACAAAAACCAAGCAATTTCATGTGCAAATCAGCAACTTCTGTAAATTCCTTTAGAGGTATCTTGATCCCAGGACAGGTTTCCTGACTTTGTTTTGCTGTTTTGATTTTTGTAAGTGATGTCAAAGCTGTGAATTTCTGAACTGCTTAGAACAATAGAGAAAAATACATCTCCTTAATGTTAGTCCCCAAAAATTCAATTCCTGAAAAGCGGTGACCTGTATATAGTTAAGGCAAGGACAAAAGCATTGGCTGTAAGAGGAAGGCACTTGCCAAAGAATGAGTTAAGCTTTGCAGCCTCTAATACTTGTATTACATTGATTGGAATCGCTCACTGAAGCATAATTTGAGAAATGCTCTAATGTGGTCGGAAACACTGATAAACCTCTGTCTTAAACTACTGAGAACCAATGATCCTCACATCTCCTGGTGCCTGAAATATGAGGTAGCTTAGTGACCACAAGCAGGCTATACTCAGAAGGCAGTTCTTTGTGGAGACGAAAGGCATAAGTAGCTGACACAAGTGAAAGAGAAGTCAAAACTAATGGAAAGAAGAGAAAAAATTGGAAAGTATTCTGAAGAACCATTGCTCTTGCTTTAACTACAGTCTTGTATTTTATTTGCCTGTCGCATTTTGCATTTCCAGTGCTGTGGCTGCATTTATTGGGAATTATAACTCATCTCTACCAAATGGTCTATCCAGATTGGTTTTTAGTTTGACTTCACAACAGATGTAAAAGGAAATATTCTTGTTTAGCTGTGGGAATTGTATCTGGTCAGCTGAAAGATTCCACTATGACCTTTTAAATAATATTACCGTTTTCCTATCATCACTTAAATCAAAGGAGATCATGCCACCAACTGGCATGTGAGCGCACAGTTTGTTTCCTTTCCTCCTAATCTACCCGAGTTTGGCAGATCTGTGGTATGTATGAAATGTTTGTAGGGTGTTTACACTCTTGTTTTCCTGTTTCAGAATGGTTTCACTCCACTGTATATGGCAGCCCAAGAAAACCACCTCGAGGTTGTTAAGTTTCTTCTTGACAATGGTGCCAGTCAGAGCCTTGCCACAGAGGTAAAAGTTTGAATTTCACACTTTATGAACAAAGTAAAATGTGCTTCAGCAGTGATTCTTGCCAGCTTTTATCTAACTAGTCTTTTAAATACAAAATTAAAGACCAAGAAAAAGTTCTCTCTGCGGAGTGTGCTAATGAATACTGAGTTACTGGCTTTTCAGCAATTTAAACCATCTCTTGCCATTTCTAAAATAAAAAATGACTTTAACTAGAAACAGTTCTAAAAATAGATGTGTTCTTAGTCATAACTGGTAATATGTCAGGTTAAGTGCTCAAACAGGAAAGCTGTGTGCATAACATAAAAGTTCTCTGTGCTTTCATTAAAAATAGTGAGTAATGTGGAGGGCAACCATAAAGCAAGAACAACTGTTTACCTACACTTTGGAGCCAGCCCTGGGATATCGGGGAAAACCCAGGGTTACTTAGTGCTTGGAGCATTTTCTGAACGGCGTTTATTGCCGTGTTGATACCATCTCTGTAGCACCTACTTATCCCATCTGGTCCTGCAGTGATAATTTCCAGCTGACAGAAACTTGCAAGGCCCATCCTTGAAGGTGTTCTGTGATCTTCTAGAAGAAATCTTTTTATTTCTTGTTTTAAAAAGTAATTCTAACTCAAATAAGGCAACCTGGAAGGAAAAAAAAAAAGCAGCAGCTATGTTAATGGTCATAAATGTACTGCATCGAGATAGGTTTGTAATCTGATGAATTTTCAGTTGTCTTAATTCCAAGATTTTGCTACCAAAAGAAAAAAAGCTATTTCAGTATGTGTCCTCTCTAATATTTATTAAATTATGATTGCTCTATCTGAACTGATTCCATTAAGGAAATAATTCTTATTTGAAAAAGTCCTACTTTTTGCAAAATATGAAAAGCAAAATTAGTTTATTGCATCACTATACCTCATAGTATCACCATATAATGATGTATGTATGGAATCTTTTTCTCCTCTTCTGAAGTCAGCACTGTAAGAAATGAATCACTAATGGATCAAAATTATGTTTTTAAAATCACTAAAACTTAGTTATAACTAGAAGTGTGCATCAGAAACTACTTTCTGGAAATGCTCAAAGACATGAAAGCCATGAAATACCAAAGTGAAATATTTTCTATCTGGAAAATTAATTGAAATTTGTAAAAACCTAGAAACAAAGAAGTCATGGGACCCCCAGAGATGCACAATAGATTCAGACTTTTGAAAATATTCTTGCCACTGCATGATTTTCTGAACATAGAATTTATTTTAAATTGTGCATGGGTACTTGGTTCTTTTTCTTTGGTATTGTTTTTCCCTTGAGCGTTGTATGTCAGTTTAGGTTGAGTTTTTCTCCAACTCAGCTTGATGATAAGTTGCGACCTAATTTTATCCATGGAGAATTCCTTTGAAGATACCAGACTACAAAACAATGTTGCCTTTATTGCCTTACTTGTTTGTGATAGTTGCTTATGAGTGCTTTTTTATTTTCTCTTGGTCCAAATTTTCATATGAATCTGATTTATCTTTACCTTTATACAAAAACCTTGGTTATTAAACAATTGCCACTTAGCTAAATACTCAATAAAAATAAAACTCTTTAACAAAGGTGGTTTAATCTGGATGAAAAAAATAGAACCAACTATTTTATTTAAATTGCTTTTAGTTTTTTGGGGGTTGTTTTGTTTTGCTTCTTCTGGAGTGGGATTTTGACTTGTTTTAAAGTGCAGTTGCTAATTACAGTACCGATGTCACTTGCTTGCAATTGCTTTTTGTGAGTTGGCATCTTCAGAGAGCGTGTGGTGGAAACGCATTCTTGTCGGTGCTAATATTCTTGCTCACAGTTTGCTTGGCCTTGGTACAGTGATCTCTGCACACACTGAAATGATGAGCAACTCTTCTCAGAGTTAGGAAACTGGGAATATAGCAGATGGCAGCTGTTCTGGGATTGAAATGAAGTGTTCCTGAAGTGTTCCTTCCCATTTGTTCGCTCCCTTTTCCCTAAGGAAAGGAGAAAATGTCTTCCTAGGATATTTTTTTATATATATATTATTGTTACCAGCATTTTTAGCAGAAGAGAAAGCCCAATGAGAGAGGACATTGTAGATAGCTAAACCGCTTTTCTTTGTGAAGCAGCTGACTGTGTCACTGCCGTCGGCTGTATAAATAGATCAGGAAGCCAATGTCTCCAGGTCACTAAGGTGCGAGCTGTCGCACTCAGGGTTTCTCCAGGCAAGAGCCTCCATTTCTGCAGGTACAGTGTAGCTATGTTGCCAGAGCCCTCTTGTGGGAATGCTCATGGAGTTGTTTTGCCTTCAGAGCTACCTAGCATTTTTCATACCCTCGACTGCACCGTGCCCACAGTCTGAGGCTGCACGGTCGTTTCACCCCAGAAGTCCCTCGTGGCCTGGGACCACAACCCAGAGTCCTGCCCCACTACTGGAGGATGGTGAGCCTGAGGCAAAGGGCAAGGCTGTGTTTAAGTGAGTTTAAAAAAAATCATGAAAAAGAACAAAGCTTGTTAGGACCCAAAGAATTTCAGTGATTTTTCTTTTCTTTTTTTTTCTCCTTCCCCTCCAAAGTTTTGGAAAAATGCTCTTTTTTCAGAACTCCTTCTGTTTCTCCTCCTAAATTGAAGCGCTCTTTGTTTAGTAAGCCAGAGAGAGAAATTCCTTATTGAAAACATTACCTGTAGTTCTAAAAGTTAATACTTGAACTCTGCACATTTGACATAGGGTGAGGATCTACATTCTTCTGTATCTTTGCTGCACTGTTATTTCACACTTATAAAGTTTCACCATGACAGAAGTAGTTGCAAAGTGAAAGAAGGTGTTTACCTACAAAACTGTAATGAAGTTTGGTAATACAAGCTTTGGATATATTGATCAAGAGTCAAATGTAATAAATTAGTATCCCAAGTAGAGTAATTTGCATTTGTGATTTTTCTGAGTGATTTATGGGTATTATTTTGGGCAAAGCTGAATATGTTCCTGGATTGGAATGCCACTTAAATGTTTGGGAAGGAGCAGAATCTAAATAACAACTCTTTCATTCTTTAGTTTTCTAAGAATCCATAAAAATAAAATTATAAAAACATCTCAGACTGTACTTTTCATGTATTTGAGGAATCCACTCTAAAATCTTTTAAACAAAAATCTTCTATTTTTCAGGTTTCTTATTCTGCACTACTTTGGTTGGCTTATTTGCTAGTCTGAAAGGAAATAACTTCTGTTTGTAAAAGGATTGTCCATCATATCTACTTAAATTTTCATAAATGGAAGTTGTAGTAAAATAATTGGTATATTGGGAGAAGGTGGTATTCATATTAAAATATTAGTAGATTTTAAATCCATAAATAAAATATATCAGAGGATAGAGCTGAAGTATTGGGGTTTGTTGGTTTTTTTTCTTAAAAAACATAGATTATAACCTGTAGCTGTAGGGGGAATGGATGATAATTTGCTATGGAAACATCATTAACAGTTGTAATTTTAATATTTCAGCTTTTTATATCTTTTTATATAACAATACACTTCATTATACACACACTTATTTATATACCTGTTAATTCGTGAGTAATTTCACACTTGTTTTCTCAAGTCTCGGTCATTTTTGTTTGCTTGTGTCTTCCAATCTTATGTTTAAGTCTGGAGTGCCAGAAAGGTGTTCTGAGCATTTGGGACCTAGTTCACCAACACTTTACTCTGATTTCAGTGTTATTGCAGGATACTTCTATTTTGCACCATGTTCCACTTTACGTTTGAATTTGAGCCAGTACTGTTACTAATGCTGAGATCTCTTCCCTTCCTCTTTCCTCCCCCTGGAAAGCTTGGAGCATGTGTTGAGAGTCCCCATTGTATGTTGCAGGATGGTTTCACGCCTTTGGCAGTAGCTTTGCAGCAAGGTCATGACCAGGTGGTTTCACTGCTGCTTGAAAATGATACGAAGGGAAAAGTCCGTCTTCCTGCCCTTCACATCGCCGCTCGCAAGGATGATACGAAGGCAGCGGCTTTACTCCTGCAGAACGACCACAATGCTGATGTGGAGTCAAAGGTCAGTTGTAAAAAGAAAAAAAGTTTGATGCTATTAAGTGCCAACTACATGTATTACATCCAGTGAAGATCTCCCTTAGTGTGAAGTATTTTGCTGCAGAGTTACACATGACTTTCTCCTATAACATGTGATTAAGAATAACGTTTCATTTGCTCCCTTTGCCTTTTTCTCCCCTATTCCCTTTTTGTTTAAATCAGGGTTAATTTCTCCTGTAGAAACTTTGCAAATGGAAAATAATAAGGAAAATATTATTGGAATTATTCTCTTTGGAATGAAAGCCACTCTTGCAGTGGTGTGCTATAGGTATTGTACAGTCAAGTCATTTGATTAGTTGTTTATGCAATTGCTACTTTGAGTACTTTGGTAAACATGTAACAATTAACATTGAAAATACTCGATCATTCAGCTTCCATTCAGTCGAGCTTCCTTTTTGTGCTGATTGTGCTGTCATCTGAGCTGCCATGCCATGTAGCAACCATGAAGCTTTTTGCATCCATATCACCAGTGGTGAACTAACCGTTCATTTTTTCCCCCTCTTTGCTTCCAAATGTGTTAACCTAGATGATGGTGAATAGAACAACAGAGGTATATATAAATATATATATGCATCATCACTCCTCCATGACTTAGTGCTGCTGCATCATTTTTTCCTCCTCCTTTTTGCATCGCCTTTTATAGGATAGATACCTGCTTTAGATGAAATGAAGTAGCATGTGCTAGAGAAGACTGTAGTTTAGATACCAGGGCTTTCTGCAGCTGAAACTAGGGTTTAAAAGTAAGAGTAAGCGTTCTTAGGAACCAACTGCCATCATAAAAGAGCCATATTATGTAAGATGGAGTTTTCAGGGATTCTCAAGGAGCATATGTTTATCATATGTGTTAAGAGCTGCAGACAACCCTGTCATGTTGTGCATCCAGGTCTGATTTTAGGCTTTTGCATGACACTTACCTTGATGGTGTCAGCAAATAGAATGGTCTGAGAGTGGTTTTGTATCTGCAAAACTCCCAAAGCAAGGCAGTGGCAGCTAGCATGGCTTGCTAACAATTTAGAAATGCATCTAGTTCCCATAAGGTTTCATACTTTGCAGGACTGATGGAATTGCTGCATGTTTTAGCATTATTTTAAAAGGAAGTAAAACTACTTAAATATGAAAATAAGTTGCTGAAGTAATTTTATCAGTAAGGCATCTTCTAATTAGGGTGGTAACTCTTGGTGTGTGAACATAACCCAGTGTGACTGCCCACAGTGGGAGACTGATCTTTATGATACTAACCCTTGGAAAAAAATAATCCGTATTAATAATTTAAAGTCATCTTTGATGTTGTTTTCATTTGCATCTACTTTGAATTTATAAAAAAGTTAGCATGTATTATTAAATTACTTGTATCTGAACTTCTGCAAAGAATCTCTAAGAGATTTAACTTGCAAAACTCATATAACACCAGTAACAACTAGATATTTCTAGTTAGAAATTAATTTCATATAAAAGACAGATTATTGCTTTAATACTAAATGTTTTGCTGTTATTTTTCTGGAATAACTGAAAGTTTTATCCTTTATACTTCTGGTCTTCTAGAATAATTATGTTAATTTTTTTTTTCCCTCCTGCATAGCAATATGATTTTATTTAGAATCTCTGAGATACTATAAGTAAATGTCAGTGAGTGAAAACTAGTACAGAATTGGAATGGTGACTTGCAGCAGACTCCTATTAGTAGCTTGTGTCAGTGATGTAATACAAGTTTTGGACTACAAATGAGATATAAAAGAATAAGTATCTATTGGTTTTGTTTTGTTTTGTTTTTCCAGAGTGGGTTCACTCCCCTCCACATAGCTGCTCACTATGGAAATATCAATGTAGCTACATTGCTGTTAAATCGGGGTGCTGCTGTGGACTTCACTGCAAGGGTAAGTGTGAAATCTTGGTTACGTTTAGTTTGCTTAGTCATCATTTTGAAACACTTTTTCCACAAAGGGGTGGAAAGGTACATTGCTTTTGCCAGCCGAGGGCCTGGCCTGACTGCTCTTGTTCTGTTACCACGAGGTGTAAAGGGTGTTTCCCTGCCCTG